AGGGACCCTGAGGCCTGGGAAACAAGGACTTTCCCCAAAGACACGCGGTAAAGTGAAATGGATCCTAATGTGAGTTAAAAGGATATTTAACACTGCAGTCGGCGGAGAGCCGGTTAATCAAGGAAACGCAAAGGCAATTTACTTTTGGGGGGGCGGGACATCAGCTTTGAAAAGAAGCATTATAAAATTAATTTCCGAGACAAGGAGGTGGGAGTGATGGAGAGAAAAAGCACTCAAGGCTCGGCTCACCAAAATTTAATTTTGATTATCTTGAATGGGCTCAGATCGCCTTTGCCAACATCTCACGGTGCTAATATCACTGGGCGGCAGGGCCCAAGCAGCCAGTTAAAGTAAACTCCCACCAAGCCGGGCCTGCGCACAGCACTGCTCTAAAGACACCCTCTTTCTTCGGGTTAAAAAACAAAACAAAACAAAACACAAAAAAACCACAAAAAAACACAACACACAGTTAACCACCTGTCAGGGCTGAGGACACAATGAGGCGCTTCGAAAAAGAGCTTTTCATGCATGCGTAATATATTTGTTCAGCTATTCACTTAATGAAGCTGATAAATGTGATGCAAGACAATAGTCAAGTTAATCTATTTAGTAAAATGTTTTTGAGACTTTCAGGCTACGTTAAGGAGGGGAGCTTTCGGCGACATTTTCATTTAAATGCGCTCATCTCCCCTCTTAGGCTGCACAAGGGGGTTCAGGCAATCTATGTGAATATAATTTCTTATAAATGTGTCTTTAATGGGTTTAATTCACCCTTGCCAGCTGTTTTGGGGGCTATTTTGTAAGAGCAAAACAAACGTTTCAGGCTTGGAAAGCTAGTTAAAATTAGTTTCGGTCAGCAAGGCCAAGCTATATTTCCTGCAAACCATCTGCTTGATTGGCACAATAGAAGGATTTTCAAGGAAAAAGGGGGGAGTGAGTGTGAAAGGAATGAGCGGTGCGGGGAGATGCTAGAAAGGGCTGGGGCGGCCGGTAGCTCCCTGTGGCCTATTCTGAAGGTGAACCCCTTAGAGGTGTCTTAATAGAGCGGCTCGCCTAAAGAGCTGGGGCTGTAGGAAAGCTCTTACAGCCCGAGCCTCGCCGCCCTCCTCCTTTGCCTCGCGCAGCAGCTCCCTCTTTTTCCCTGGGACAGCAGAAGCCAGGAGGCGGGTGCTAATTCCGACGCCACCGCCACCCTGCAGCCTGCCAGACTTGCAAAGCATTCTCTGTTGGTAGCTCCGGTCGGGAGCGCCACGGCCTGGGGGTTTGAACCCTTGCAAAGTGCGACCCTCGGGTCCCAGTCTTCCAGAATTTACGTTCGTTATCTTTTCGGAGGGCGAGGAATATATCAAGCCACTCTCTACCTTTCGGGCACTTCGTCTCCCCATGGGCGGCCTGCACTTACCCGGGGCAGGCTCTCACGCCTCGACCCACACTGGAGAGGGTGCGCCACGGCCAGACCCCGGCGCATCGGGCAGGGACGCGCCAGCTATCCAAGGCCCCGGGGGCGTGGCGGGGGGAAGAAACCCCAGACGGATTCCGGAGCCCTTCCTGCCTTCCCAGGGAGGCTCCGGCAGCTTTGGCCTCGAAGGCCCCGGGAGCCTCGGCTGCCTCTACTGAGGCCTTTCCCCAGCGAGCAGCGGCGCCCGCGGCACAGGCGAGGATCTTCACCCCAACCGGCGCCTCCGATACTCTTTTCCCCTCCCGTCTTTTATTCCCCTGAAAAAGAAACAGACAGAAAGCCCCGCTCTGGGAGAGAGGACGCTAGTGACTTCTCTGAAATAAACTTGAAGATAACGACATTACAATGAATGGCAGGACGCACAAAACCCCAAGGGCTCAGGTCAAACGGCATTAGTCACAGGTCTTAGCCGCAGCCGCCGGCTGCGCAGCCCCTTAGGCTATGGCGGAGTTTGAAAAGACGCGTTCAAGGAAATCACTTAAAAGTAAGATCCTTTCGTCAGATTTCTTGCTTCCTTAGGATTTATTTTGCCTTTTCACCGGCCGCCAGCCCTCGCCCCCCGCCTTCACTCTTCCCCTTGGAAAATGGAAAAAAGGCTATGGAGACGGACCGCTGGAGGCCAAGAACACGTGGATCGCAGCAAGGGGTTGACCCATCTTCCAAAAAAATGTCAGGCCCCCCCTTTTAAAAGAAGAGACATTAGCAGCAGTTAGTCTAGAGTGAGGCAGAATGGCCTGTGTGTGTGTGTGTGTGTGTGTGTGTGTGTGTGTGTGTGTAAGGGTGGGAACCAAGGAGCGTGTCAACTGTCAAGATAGTAACTGTAAAAACTACACCCAGGGGGATTCCCTGGTGGCGCAGTGGTTGAGAGTCCGCCTGCCGATGCAAAGGACACAGGTTCATGCCCCGGTCCGGGAAGATCCCACATGCCACGGAGCCGCTGGGCCCGTGAGCCATGGCCGCTGAGCCTTCGCGTCCGGAGCCTATGCTCCGCAACGGGAGAGGCCACAACAGTGAGAGGCCCACGTATCGGGGGTGGGGGAAACTACACCCAGGGAGATACCTCAGCTGGAGAGGAGGTCTAGGTAAGGAGGGGCAGGGGGGTCAGGAAGGCCTTAGACTGACTTTGAGTCCTTACCACCCCTCAATACAAAGCCCTGCAAATGTAGGCTCTATCTTCCAGTAGACTGCAGTCAAATGCTATACTGCTGAGCTACACTTCCTTGATGGGAAACCCAACACCTCCAGTCCGAGCTTTCCCCCTTCCGGGAACTGGCAACGGCTCCTGACACGGAGGTAGGGGAGGAAGGAGGGAGGGAATGAAGAGGGAAAAAGAAGAGAAGGAGGGAGAGAATGCAAAATCCAGAGCTGGTCCTCCTGCTTCCAGAAAGCAGTTGGTGGGGAGGGGTGATAGCGAATGAAAACACTGTGGCAAGATTAGAGCTCAGGTGTTCAAATACTTTCGACTTTTTCTCCCCTATTTTATGGCAAAGCTTCAAAAAGAGGAACATTTGAAGTTCTCCGAAGATCTGTCTCTTTCATTTCCAGGGGACTCCAGTTAACTTGAGCAACGCATTTCCCATATTTAAATAGCCACTTATTTAACAGTTGTTCTTTCCTTAGTGGTTTTCCGGGGCCTGCTGCCCAGAATGCCTCCATAAACAGTCTTGGGCTCAGAAACTCCGTACTTGCGTCATGTTGGAGCATTAATTCGGCTCCAGAGCCCGACCTAAATAACTTTTTAATCTGAATCAAGGGAGAGCTTTAGCGGGCTCCATTTCTGGTTTAATGTGATATAAATCGCAGATGCACTTTTATTGAATGGTTAAAGCAGCGACATGGAGATCATCAACACAAAACGCCCTGAACAAAACCATCGAGAGAAATAAAGCTGGTTAATAAGATTTTTGAGAAAGCTTTGTGTTAAAAAGCAAAAAAGGAAAACCAGCTGAAGGTGACAGTTAGTTCATGGTTAATAGGATCAGGGCGGCCTGGCGGGCTGCACACTTCTCTTTGGGGAGGTTCAGCCACACTAAAGAAATGAATGGGACATTTTACACATCTGTTATCTAGCCGAGCTGAGAAACGGAATTGAGGCTCAGCGCCACCCCAGCCCCAACCCAGCAGAAAACACAGTACTGTCTACAGGAAGATTCTCATTTGAGGCACCAAATTAAGTAAGAATCGTCTTTCCTCATGTGGACCAACATTTTTGGGAACCGCGTCCTTCGTGCTGTTTTCACGTGTTTTTACATTGCAGTTGATGAAGAAGCAGCAGAACCTTGGCCGGGTTAAGCGCCCGCAATGGGTAGGACTCTCTCAGGACAAATCCCAACCTTCGCTGCTGTGGTTTTAAAAGTCTAGGCTGTGAGTTCCTACTGAAACTGCCGAGGGCTTGTAGAGGTTAGAAAAGAGCCAGCAGAGCACCCACAGTGTCCAGGTGTCCTTGTCTGAGGCAGCTTCCAGCAGAGGTAAGCCCTTGGGAATGGAATCCGGCTGCCTTGCCCCTTTTCGATGCTGCTCTCCTCTGATCCTCCCCCGGGTGAACTGCCGTTCGTTCCTCAGTGACATTTATAAAGATACGTCGCTGAAAATCGTTTTCTTAGTTGCTGGGAGTTTGCAGGAGGGTCATATTACTATTCAGGTATCCACTAACTCTCTCAATCTCAATTATTTTCCCGACATGAAATAACTCAGATCAAGGCCTGCCCCCCTCCAACCCTAGGGACGCACATCCAATAGCCCCAAAGCATCAATTTCAAGTCTCCCTGGGTTGTTAGAACGGCACTCCCCTACCCCACATTTATTTAACCCACGCATCACATCTGGTTTATGCCTCAGCTGGAGTAATGTATAGGGCAGAGACCGAAGAGGGAGTATATTTTCATGTTCACTGACTTGAGATTTTCCATTGCCCTCCCCACAAGGGGGGAGGATTATTTTACTGATTGCCTGGAGATGCATTTCTATGAATATTTATTGATTTATTTTCCAGGCTCAGCAGGGGAGCTGCAAATAAATTTAGTGCATTCTTTAAATAATTCCTTTTCTATGAGGCAAGATGTCATCTGAAACTTCTAAATAGGCATTTAATTAGCCCGGGTGTTGCTTCCGAACAAAAACTCCCGGCGAGAGCTTTGGGGGAGCACTGTATTGCAAAGAGGCGGTCGATACGCAGAATTGATGCGCGCCAGCCTTTGTTGCCAGCCCATTGTGCGGGCCATGCTTATGAAGACTAATCCAATCATAAATTGCACCCCTGCGCCAATCAGCGCGCCCAGAGCCTCCAGCGAATGAAGCTCGAGTGGAGAACTTTGTTGAACTTCATTGTCAGAGCTGTCACTTTTCAAAATGCTTTAACGGGCGGGCCACTATAAAACCATCACCTCAACGGGAGGACCGCGGAGGACTCGCAGACACCCAAGTGGGATCGTTACTAGAAGACGTTTGCTAAGCCCAAGAGAGAGGGCGGGAGGGGCGGGAAGCCCAGCATTTACCCTCTGGCCACTGGAAGAAGGGTTTTTCCACCCGCCCGTCGCCTAACATGATGTTCCCCGGCCTCCTCGCGCCCCCAGCCGGGTACCCCAGCCTCTTGCGCCCCACGCCCACCTTAACATTGCCCCAGTCCCTGCAGTCGGCATTTTCCGGCCACTCGAGCTTCCTGGTGGAGGATCTGATCCGCATCAGCCGACCCCCAGCCTACCTGCCCCGCAGCGTGCCCACCGCCAGCATGTCGCCCCCTAGGCAGGGGGCCCCTGCGGCTCTCACAGACACAGGGGCCTCGGACCTGGGCTCCCCGGGTCCAGGCAGCCGGCGGGGCGGCTCACCGCAGACGGACGTCTCCCCTGCCAGCGAGCCCACGTTTCTGAAGTTTGGAGTGAACGCCATCCTTTCTTCGGCGCCCAGAACTGGTAAGTGAAAGCAAAACGCTAAGGGGCCGGTCTAGATGCAGAGTCCTTCTGGCCTCAGTTTCCCATACGCAGCGGGTACCCACGCTCACAGCAGTGCACACACGTACGCAAGATCCCCGAGGCCCCACTGTCAAGCAATGTGAGACTTAGGTTCAGACGATTCCCGGGAAGCCTCCAGGTTCACCCCACCCTCAGAATGAATCTGAACACCTACTACAGTCCGAGCGCGCACAGTTCCCTGGCGCAGTGAAATTGCGCGCACGCCCCTGGACGTCTGCGTTTCTGTCCTTGAGCTTCTGAAAGCCAGTTTTTTTTTAACCCAAGACAACATATTTACTAGCTTAGCAAGTATTATCGGTCTGCAATTCTTTTCTCCCCCTCTCCACCAGTTATTCTATCTCGTTAGTGCCTAGGATGACATGGGGGGGGGGGACTCTGAGGACTATTGGGGGAGGGGGCTCCACAGAGACAATGTTAGGGAAAGGTTTACTTTACTGTGTCAGTACACTAAGATGCCTTTGAAACCAGCCGAAAGGTTAATCATGTCGTGTATTCACTGTGCTGTACAATAATCATGTACTTAATAAAATTCCCTTTCTGTCTCCCTCCTTCTGTTCCTCCTTTCCTCACTCTCTCCCAGAAACGTCCCCCGCCTTGCTCCAGAGCGTCCCTCCCAAGACCTTCGCCTTTCCCT